AGGAGGGAAAAGAGAAGAAGAAGAAGAAAACGTGCTGCAAAAAACTTTTTGGGTCCTGGATTCTGTCATGGTATGTGGCTGTAGAGAAGCACACGACGAAGGAGTAAACAGTAACAGTCTTTAATTCTAACTTCAAACACGATAGACAGGAGAATAACCCGGAGAAAGAACAACCACAAAGCAAATCAATCCAAGACCAAGACCAGACAGAAACTGAGGGCATATATACACAGGAAAACAAAGGAGCAGACGAGATGATTAATGAGGTAATGAATGATACACAGGTGAATGGGATGAAACAAACTCATTGGGGAAAACTAGGTCAAAGGAAAACTAACACAGAAAACAACAGACACGTTTCACCAGTTCACTATACTGGACAAAAAGGAAGCAACAATATCAAAATATTTTGATATTATTTGATTGGCAAGTGTGTGATACTTATTTTAAAAAGTCTGCAATTTCTCATTGACCTGGTTTAGGGTCATTGATATTCATATCAACTGACATTCTTATGTGTTTTATCAGTTTAATCAAGTCTTAATCAAATCACTTTTTCTATATCCTTCTTTTTTATCCTGCTTTTTCTTCACTTATGCACTCATCTGGAGAGCCCTGAGGGCATTATGTGGCATGCTCTGCTTCCCTCTCTTTCATGCTTGCCCTCTCTCTTTGTACTTACGCTGTCAATGGCTTTTAAGACATAATCGCACGTGGCCGGCCGTGACTGCTGGTACAGCTACTGGCCTTTGAGATCAGATACGGTCATCAGCAGAAGAATTTGCTGCTCCTCAGCTAGAAGGATTGAAACACTGTAAGGATCAAAAGAAATATATATATTTTTAAAAGGCTTAAATGCTTTTATATCTTTTTAACCTTTTCAAAGTAGTGTCTTATGCTCATAACGGCTGCATTTAATAAAAAATACAGTAAAAACAGTAATATTGTGAAATATCATTTAAAATAACTGCTTAAATATATTTTAAAGGAGACCTATTATGCCCCTTTTTACAATATGTAATATAAGTCTCAGGTGTCCCCAGAATGTGTCTGGGAAGTTTCAGCTCAAAATACCCCACAGATCACTTATTATATCATTTTAAAAATGCCTATTTTGAGTGGAAGCAGAAACACACTGTTTTCATGCCTGTATCTTTAAATGCAAATTAGCTGTTGTTCCCCGCCACCTTTTCTAGAATAGGGCTGTGCCTTTACAGCTTGTACCTCAAATACTCTGCCAAAAAACATCTGTTTGGTTTTTGATTATCATGTATATCGTGCTGAAATCATGCATTTTAAAGTCTTATTGCGCTTAAACTGTAAAATACACAGAAATGTGTTAAAAACACATATAAGTTACAAAAACAGTATGTCAGAAATGACAAGGAGGCAGCTTCCCGCAATATAAAGTCAATGGAGAGGATTGGATAATTTTTCCCCTCGGTGTGGGTGTGGCCTAAATGTGCTCTGTCTCTATGCCAGAGAGTGAGCTCTTGAAGCTCCGCCCTCTTCTGAAAAGGCAGGCGGGAGCACCAGCTAATTTGCATTTAAAGGGACAAACACAAAAATGGTGCGTTTTGGCTCATATCCTAAAAGTGGCAATTTCAACAATCTATAAAAGCTAAAACTTCACATACACACTCTGGGGACATCAGATACTTATTTTACATCTTGTAAAGGGGCATAATAGGTCACCTTTAATCAATTTAATCCTTCCTAAAAACCTTCAAACTCCAAACCCTTTTTCAGAGCCTGCTGACTATCAACAGTCTAATTCAGTCATGTTAAACAGTGAATATCCCTCGATGAGTGATATTTTGATATTTACTGTCCTTTTCTGTCACAATGGTTATAGGTATTATTCAATGAGTTAGAGAAGGAAATCGACTTTTGTTATATATCCATTCTGTCTGTACAGGACAATTTAGTTCAATGTAGTTTCGCAGTTTATTTGCGTTCCTTATTACTCAACTACTATCAGGCTATTCATCCTGATTAAAATCTATTAATCGGGGGAATTAAGGGGCATTTAGTATTCTGTAGAAAGAAGGCAATGAAAATTGCTGCATCACACAATTATAGTAATGAATGGTGTTTTGAACACATTGTGTGATGTATCTTCCATTACATTTGGCTTACATTTTGTCTATTAATCAGTGGCTGATTTGTGACTACATCTTATCATAACCCTTTTTCTCACTCTCTTTCTAAGTCCACCCTCATTATTCTCTTTATCTGTCTCTTTTTGTGTGTTGGTGACTAGGAGACGCTGAGCTTTGCTAAACTGCAGTGAAATCACCCCACTGCAGAGCTTACAAGAGCACAGCCTCTCAATGTGTGCGAAAGAGAGAAAGGGACATATATATATATATATATACTCGATTTTACAGAGAACATTTGCTTAAAATAATTCTGCCTTTCTGACACTAATATTTTCCCAAAACTTTTATTCTCTTTCGTTTCTCTGTTAAACACTCTCTTTTAAATTCTATGGCCCAGATATTCAGCAACAGAATATAAATCATACTGCTATAATCATTTCAGCTTTGTCACTCCATCCACCCAGATGGTTTTTAACGCACAGATCATAAAGACAAGCTGACAATGGAAAAATAACAACAGTACAGGTAGTAGAAAGATATTTATTGTATTTCATTTGTGAGCTATTCGTCTTATGGGGGTGATTTATTTTTAAAAGCCCTGAATAAATGAGCACTTGTGCTTTCCTCCGGGTCTACCTTCCACAGTCATTAAAGTGTTGAAGTGTCACAAACAAGTCACTCTTCTTGTCTGGTTATCGCTGTTTTCATGGTACCATATAGTTGTCTAACATTATTGTTAACAGCGATATTAATAACTAGAATTAGTTATTAATAACTAGAAAAATGTATCATGGTCACCACCAGCTCCTGACAAAATGCCATGATTACTATAGTTTTGTGAGCGAACACAAAGTTTCACGGAGGAATGCAAATATTTTGCGTTTGGCACCATCACTGCAATTAAAAAGGAATGAAAATAAAGACTCCGGAATCTTTTTACACTGTCTGAAACAAATCCTGTATTAATATTTTTTTGTGCTGAATCATGATTGTAGGTGTGCAAGACAACAGATTAATCCTTCACCTTTTTGTTATTGTGCATTGCGTTTCTCTGCAACAGTTGTCCTTTATTGGCGTAGAAGTAGCTGTATGATTCTCAGCTTTGAGTTGACAATCAACCCCACTGGACCCTGCTGAGAAAACATAATCAGCCATAAGCACTTGTCCCCTACAGACCTCCATACACCAGCACTCCCTGCTGTGTCAACAGCCCCAGTCAACACTAAACTGCTTTCATACAGCTCCACTAGCCAGCAGACTCACTCTCTATCACCTGTCTAACCCACTACAGCTTCAGTAAGCCAAGAAAGGCAGACAGTTTTGATAGCTGGTTGATATCCAGTTACAATGGATTGGAACGGGAGCTTTTAAGTAAATAAATTATGTTTTTAGCACATTGTTTTTTTACAAATGTTAAAAATTGAGGGGAAAAAAATAAATGTTTGGTATGACCTTTCTAAGTGAGCAGCTTTCTGAAAAGTGCAATGCCTGACATGATCTCAGGAGTGTTCATTACAAGTAAAGAGCATCTGGAGACAAATGTGTCTTTTATGCCTCTATGAGTCTGCAGTATTATTAGAATGTGAGACATGCATTTATCATACGCAGGTTCTGCTTCATTAAATAAAAGCATTTGTATAATCACACCAGTCTTAAAGTAGTCTACCTCCAAAGTGAATCTATTTAGCAGGCTTGTTACTGTACCAGCAAAGCAGTTTACTGCTCACTATTAATTGCTGTGCTGGTTCAACAGCAGCAAAATTTTAAGTGCTTGGTCACAAAGAAAGCTGCTGTATCAGATGAGAACATTTACACTTTGAGAAATCAGACAATCTCCTAAATGTTCTGTGCATTGCAACACATGCTCAGTGTAAAAAGTGTCACTGCATCTCTTCTTTTAAATACAACTATATCCACCAATTTCTCCCCATCTCTCTCTATTATGCTCTCTTTGTCTTACAAAACAGCTCATATTCAGTCTTATGTAAAATTTTAGCTCTTCCCTTTTTTCAAGACTTATGTATTTATGTCTGCTACAATGATTTTTAGTATCACACACACACACACACACACACACATTACTTTTAAATAACCATCAGGATTTAGTCATATGTAACATTAAATCTCATTCCATAAATTATTTATTGTATGTCTGATTTTATTAATATAATTCTAATGAACCAAGCTTTTCCCTTTTTCCAATTCTATGTTAAATAGATGATTATTTGCAGAAAAATCAGTCTGCTACAGAAGAATAACATTTATATTGTATTTTATTATTTTATTTATAAAATGTACCTTTATTTTTTTAAATTTGCTTATTTTATTGTACCTGTATTTTCATCAAAGTAATCATTTAGGAAAAATTAGACTCAGATTTTGTGTATATTGCTGTGTTTAATAGACTTTTTAGAGTGTTTTTTCTTTTTATCTATGCACCATCTGCAGTATATTATTTCTGCTCTAGATATGTAAGGCATCTTATTACAATACACAATAGCTGAAGTTCTTTTTCAGTTAAATCCTGTGATGTCTGAGGTCTTCTGTAGAGATTAATCTGATACATTTTTAATGGTTATTTGTTTTTCCTTTGGGCTACTTGTGTAATCAACATGTTTACTGCACACAAACTCCCTTGCTACAAGCATCATCCCGGAAAGTCTCCTGCATTTCACCCAGAAAACAACAAAGAAAGTCCTCAGGTGAAAACATCAGTCAACTGAAAGTTTAATGGTGTTCTCGTTCTGAGAAGCAGCTGCTTATAAACCAGTATATATATATAAATCAGCTGCCAAACAAGAATGAAGACAAAAACAAACTCTGCTGAATATGACTGCGTCAGTCTGTGTGTTACTCCGCTTGAGGTGTGTGTTCCCACTCTTCTTTTATTTACTACAGGCAGCATTGTGTATCTGGGGATGATGGTAGGGGCCTTCTTCTGGGGCGGCATGGCTGACAAGGTGGGCAGACGGCAGTGTCTGCTCATTTGCATGTCCATGAATGGCTTCTTCGCCTTCCTGTCCTCTTTTGTGCAGGGCTATGGCTTCTTCCTGCTCTGTCGCATGATAGCTGGCTTCGGGTGAGTCTGTTTCCTGCAGCACACAATCTGTGGTATATCTTCAAGACATTAGACTTGTCAAGTCCAAAACGTGGATCTTGATAGTGACTTTAAATTTTGTACATCATATAATAAAAAGAAATTTTATATATAGAGACTACTGTTTGGGGCCAGTACAATTTAAAAATAAATTAATTAATACTTTTATTCAGCAAGGATGCATTAAATTGATCAAAAGTGACAGTTAAACATGTATAATGTTTCAAAATATTTCTATTTTAAATAAATGTTGGTCTTTTAAACTTCCTATTCATCAAAGTATCCTGAAAAAATGGTTTTCTTGTTTCACGGTTTTCACAAAAATATTAAGCAGCACGACATGATTTAACATTGATAATAAGAAGAAATGTTTCTTGAGCATCAAATCAGCATATTGAGTAGAATGATTCCTGAATATTTACATTTACACTTACTAATTTGGCAGATGCTTTTATCAAAAGTGACTTACAGTTGAGGAATACAACAAGCGATTTATTATGAAGGTAAAATTACGTCAAAAAGGTTTGCATACGCAGGGTAAGAATTGTGGAAGTGTACATAAGACTGTAAGCGTAAATTAAATTTGCATGCGCAAGAGAAACTTTGTAAAGGTGTAAATCGCGTTTCAAGCATAAGAAAAAATTATTTGCAGCATTTTACTGTTACTCATACGTGTAATTCATGTATTGTGAAACTGCAGCTTCATGCCAACGCAAAATAAATATGATCTGCATGCTTCTGACTTCCATTTTTCCGCGCCTACACTTTTGGCACGTTTTTTTCGATTGTTATTTTTTTTTTTATTGTATGTGTACGTTAAAAGTAGCCTACCATTCCGGCAGCAAGAACGATCCTGAACTAAATGAAGATTAATGTCTTGGGTATGATGTGTTTATTGAACCAATCAGATAAGAGTAAATGGAGAGTCAGCAAGAGGCTCATTTGATTGGCTACAAGAAGAAGGTTTACCCGCCCTCCCCCTCACGCTTGCAAAACTCAGTTAGTGAGAGAATCGTGCCAAAATTGTAAGCGCAGAGAAAAGAAAGACGGAGCTGTACATATCGGTTTATTTCGGGAACTTTTTGCCCCACATACACAACAAGTCATTTAGACATTTGCAACAGTTAGTTTTTTTACACATACAGATTGGTTCTATGCAGTCAATCCGTTTTGCAGTTCTTTAAACTGCTGTTTTCACTTGCAAATCACTGTTCACAGACTTGCAGTGCTTTTGACCGTCTTTTGGCGGTTAAAATGTCCAATGTATTTTAATTAGTGCTGTCAATCGATTAAAAAAAAAAAACTAATTAATTGCACATTTTTCTGAAATTAATCGCGATTAATCCCACCTAACATTAAAGTTTTTAAATATACTTTTATATTGCAATAATTTCACATTCAATCTTCAAATTAATGTTCAAACAACATAGAGACAGTATATATTTTTTAATATTTGTTTAATGGCATTTTTATGACTGAAGGCCAGTATCAATGATACCAATACTGATTTCTCTATAAAATTGCCCTCTAATATTTAACCATTGACTATAGGCATTCAACATTACAGTATAAATGAGAGCTATTAATTTTAACATTTATTAGACTTTAAAAAATAACTTCTAATTTAAGTGAACCTAAAACAACCCTCACATAAAGCCATTATAATAAATGTCATATTTACCTGTGCCCTTCAGCAGAAATATACAGAAATTAAAATTGGAGTTATAAAACACTAAATTCTAAATTAAATGTAGATGAATCCTTAAAGCTATAAAAGTTATTTTTTCCTCTTTTTTTTTCTTTTTGTCCTTTGATTAATAGACATCACAGCAGCTGGTTATTAGGTTATTTTGGCTGTTATTTCTTTAAGAGCTGCCGCTGCTGAACGTGACGCGGATCTGACACACATCATATTTTCTCAACTCTTTTTACCTTCCTTGTGACCCACTTCAGGTCTTAAAGTCTCTATTAATGAGCTGACGAGTTGAATCGTGTGTGTTAGATGAGGGAGACAGTGAGTGCTGGGCTGCTCCAGAACAGTTTTGAAAACCATTTTAGAGATATAGGGCCCTATTTTAACGATCTAAGCGCATGGTCTAAAGCGCACGGCGCAGGTGCACTCAGGACGTGTCCGAATCCACTTTTGCTAGTTTAACGACGGGAAAACGGTCGGTCTAAATGGGTTGTCCCTATTCTCTTAATGAGTAATGGGTGTTTTTTGGGCATAACATGCAATAAACCAATCTTAAAAAACTTATATTTTTCCCTTGGAACACGATTTTTAACTGGGGACCCCCTCGAAACCCCATTGGGCTAGTTTTGAGCTAGTTTTGAGTAGCGATTGGGCGGGTTTTCCATTTTGTGCTGCTTGTGTAACCAAATCTGCCATGATCAAACTTTCACCGAGTTTCAATAATGGATCTATTGTGTTTGAGGAATAAATGCGCTTTTGCTACCTATGTCAATACAATGGGGGAAAATGTACATAAATTGGAATTATTGGAAGTTATATTAGGAGTTTCTAAAGTTTTTACCAGTTTTCATAATGTTAATCAGTTGAAAACAGCATGGCAATGTTAGTTTTCAGTGTGTATTAACGATCTTTGAGCAAATTTACTGCGTGATCTGAGTGGCTTGTCCTTTTTGCGAACAAATAGTCACTTAGAAAATCTAATGTGAATACAGATTACAAAACAACACTAACCAAAACCATGAGTTTGTATTATCATAGTTGGTTAAATGAAGTCCGTGTATATGATACAAAAAAAAAAAAAATCTTAATTAATAACCGTGATTATAATTTTAATCAAAATAATCGTGATTATCAGTTTAACCATTATCGTGCAGCCCTAATTTGAATATTGATCTGAAGACACCCGGGATTAATTAACTCAGTTGTAGCAATTACGTGCAATCTCGCAGACTAGACTCATTTTGTTTAATCTGAGTGGACACACGGTAGTGTTTTAATTCAATCGAATCTATTGCTTTACACCAGAGCTTGTTCTGTGTGATTGCAATTGACTTAAGCGAGGTGTGTTCTCCAGCAGAAGAACATGCTTTCTATTTAGTCATTTTTTGGCAGTTAAAACTTATATATATATATATATATATATATATATTTAGCAATTTTCCTTTTTTAAAGGGGTCATATGATGCAATTTCAATTTTTCCTTTCTCTTTGGAGTGTTACAAGCTCTTGGTGCATAAAGAAGATCTGTAAATGTTCTTTTTAGCAACATCATATGACCCCTTTAAATTTATAATTAAAATATTTTATTTATTTATCTTTTTTTCCAACCAGTGGCAGATCTTAAGGAAACCATATTGAAATTATTTTTGCAATTCTGTTTGATGATGGTAGCAAGTTTTAGCAACACAAATTACTGTGCATACAAATTACAGCAAGTTACATACTTAAACAATACAATATAAAAAGGTCCACAGATCCACACTTAATATGTTTTAAATTATGCTATAAATGAAAGTACATAAAAACGAAACGGCTGTCATAATTTGCTGAGCTCTTGAACCCTCTGAACTTTATTCTTCCTCATCTTGTCCTTCAGGATTGGGGGAGCAGTGCCCATCGTCTTCTCATACTTTGCTGAGGTGTTGGCAAGAGAGAAGCGTGGAGAGCATCTGAGCTGGCTCTGCATGTTCTGGATGATTGGAGAGATTTATGCCTCCGCCATGGCCTGGGCCGTCATACCTCACTACGGTAACAGAACCAGATCATGCACTAGTTTGTATCCTATTATTTTGCTGATCTTCTTTGTTGAGGTTTTTAATTATTAGTAAAATTTGATAGTATTATTTTTTTATTTTACATTGTTACAGAAGATTTCTATTTCAAATAAACACTTTTTTTTTTTTTGTTACTTTTTTTTCATCGAAGAATCCTAAAAACCTCAAGGTTTCCACAAAAATATTAAACAACACAACTGTTTTCAACACTGATAATAATAAGACATATTTCTTAAGCAGCAAATCTGCATGTTAGAATGATTTCTGAAGGATCATGTGACACTGAAGGCTGGAGTAATGGCTGCTGAAAATTCAGCTTTACCATCACAGTAATAAATGGCATATTAAAATAGAAAACTATTATTAAAATAGAAAACAATTTATTATTATAAATTATTTTCCGTTGTAATTATATTTGACAATATTAGTGTTTTTAGTGTATTTTGAAATCAAACACAGCCTTCGTGAGCATTAGATTAAACATCTTACCACCCCTAACCTTTGAACGGTTGTCAGAGAAGTGGCTGATCAAGTTTAACATTGCATTTACATGGTACTTCAAAAATACTGTGGCATATATTACTATGCTACGTGTCTAAAAACCATGGGACTATAACTGTAGATGTCCAAAAAACATGGTTTTGTCAAGGTACCATCTCCAAAAATCTATGATGATAATTTCTTGTAAGCAAGCAAAATTTGAAAATAACAAACCTGTTTTCATTTCCATATAAATCAAGTAACACAGAACACAGGTACAGTCCGATTACAACAATGTTCTTGGCGAGTTCAGGTCAAGGTGTCTGCTTTTCCTCCTGCACATGTGGGCTGTCTTCTCACTGGCAGTGATAACTGTGAGGGAGCGGAGAACAGCGGAGCTTTAGGTTAAGTGATTAATGTAGAAACGGATGCACTGCAAGGATATTTAAAGGATGAAGCGGCTTCTGTGGGGGAAGGCATAGCCTGTTGATTTATGAGAACCTCTACTCTGGAAATAATCTGCACTCATCAGTAACGAAATGATGGAATAGAGGGGAAGGGAGGAGGAAAGGAGCTAAATGGATATGGAGAGGAGTCTCGCGGCCAAAACGATGACTGGAACAGACCGTTTTCACTCCTATTTTGGGAGGCGGGGGGTGGTGTTTGCTCTGTTTTGTTCTCAGTGAAAAGAGCGTAATGAGGTTTTTCTCCTTGCTATGTGAGACAAAGTGAAAGGAGTGCTTGATTTATGAATGGCCCTCGGTGGAGCCCAAGCAGGGGACGAGCCTCAGACACAGTGGCTATACGAGAGTATTAGGGAGTCTATATTATAGTCTGTATGCCGGGAATCAATGGAAACAATCATAGGTTCAAAATTGGGAGTCTGTGTGTGTTGGGGGAGAACAAGGAAAAAGAGGAGCAGTCATGGGTGGGTAGTTTACATTCAGTCTCCCTTGTTCTCAAAGTAGATGGTCATTCAGCGATCATATACTGTATCTCATACTGTATCTCATTATGCACTAATTTTCGTCAGTCTGAATCAGTTCAGTCCAATACACATGTTCGTAAGACGTACCCATATGCATTATGGCACTGCACTTAAGTTTTAAAAAAAAATCAGATTGAGAAATTATTTAAGAATTATACCATCCCTTTCAAATATATCAACATTTAATTCAGATCAAGTTCAGTCTGATTGATTGGAGGGGTTACATAAAGGCGTTTCAATCTGATTTTTACCATTAATCGGATTATCATTTGAATTGGTTGCATGAAAACCTAGCTACTGTCTGTAACATGGCAACTCTCCTGAAGAGGGCGCACAATTTGAGGTATCGTTCATGTGCATAATGCTGACAGTTACACACCGAAGTATAATACGTAGGGTATGGGGTTGTTTAGATCTCTGACTGTAAATGCTTCATTTAGCAAGCACTACTAATAATGAATGGAATATACATAGAAATGAGATGGAGCTGTGTACTGTGTAGGTAATACATCAATTGCCTGGCACTTTTAAAAGCTCTTTTGCCATTTATCACTTGGTTTGTACATCTACACACAAACAAAATGAAGTCCATCCAAACATAAATTCCTTACTATAAAATTCCAAAAAGCTCTGTTCCAAAATCTAGTGAACTCCCTTACTGTCCCCTGCCTACATAGTCAGCTCCCTTTTAATGCAGCATGAAAAATAACCAAAAGTGATTTTTTTGGAGCACTGTACATCAGCAGCAACTGTATACAACATATAAGTGGCATACTGTTTAAGAGATTTAACTCACAATTTGATTTCAGTAGGGTTTTGGGTTAGCATGCTAAGCTACCTCCACAGTAATTTCCTTAGTCAAGGGAGTTCCAAATGCTTATACGAGACAGTAATGCACTACACCCTTCAAAGAACACACTTCAAAGGCTCTGCCCTTCGAAGGGAGTAGGGCATAGGGATGCTCACTTCCGTTTGGAATTAGCCCAGTAACTCCACATATGAGTACAAAGATGCTAATAAAAACACATAGAACACAAATATAGTAAAGAATATTTTTTTAATTACACTGAGGTATTTTTAGCAATGATTTTCAGTACTGAGTAAACATTTATCCTACCTCATGTGGCATCTATGTCCTACCTCACATGCCTCTTTTAGGATCACATACTAGCATACCACTCTTACTATTTTTAGCATATTATTAGAAATAGTAAGAGTATGCAATTCTCAATTTACTGAGGTTGCCGCAGTGGATTTTGGGATTTCCTTCTTCGCAAAGAATACGTGCCAAAATTAGGTTTCTGTTGGTGCCTATGATGCTTTAAAATACTGCATCTGAAGGCAGCTCGCTAGGTTTTGGAACACAGAAAAAATTTAATTGTTCTTGGAAAATGTTTCCAGTCATTACAACATTTACTTTCACACAGTTTGCGTGTGTGTGAGTGTGTGTCGTTTTATTAGCATTAAAGCCAACTGTGAGTAGAGCCACTGGCAAATGGGCAAGTCTGCTAGCTGCAGACTCAGTCACCCATTTCCTCAGTGAATTATGCACATAATCTACATTATGAGATTTCCATTGACATGGGTGAAACATTAACCCTGTGGGCTTGCCTGCTGTTGCAATAACAACTTCATAACTCTCATTTATACTGGAGTGTAGTGTTACCTTCATTATTTACCACTGGTCTTCACAGAGATACGCTAATGAACAAACACACTGAATGCTGTGTTTCACCATGCCATATTCCTAGTGTCTTTTTCACTCCCATTGAGATTTCAGGCATCAATTATATTTATACCACTGTCTTCTAGCTGTAAACTCAGGATTTTTTTTTATTTACTATGTATGATAGGACATAGTAAATGGGTAAACAGTGAATGGGTGCCGTCAGAATGAGTCAAAACAGCTGATAAATGCATCATGATAATTCACAAGTAATCAACACAACTTCAGTCCATCAGTTAATATATTGTGAAGTGAAAAGCTGCATGCTTGTAATAAACAGAGGAAGCATTGTTATGGATTATAGACTGGTATTTTAGCAAGAAGCAATGGTTTAAAGTTAAAACGCCTTCATGATGCTTCTTACAAACACATAGGTTTTCACTTCACAAGGCAGTAATTAATGGACTGGAGTTGGGTGGATTACTTGTGGATTATTGTAATGTTTTTATCTGCTATTTGGACTCTTTTTGGTGAGCAATTGATGTAATGCTGAATTTCAACAAGTCTGTTCTGATGAAGAAACAAACTCATCTACATCTTGGATGGCCTGAGAATGAGTACATTTTCAGCAAATTTAAATTTTTGGTTGAACTATTCCTTTAATGGCCACTTTACATTACCAGCAGTGAAAGACACTTGTGCCTTTCATTGGGATATTTCCACTTTAATGATATCATTAAGACTCCACACTGTTTTACAGCTCAGTGGATAAGACATTACTGGTAAAGAAAAATATAAATGGTGGAGAAGTAGGAAAGGCACCACTTAAACTGAAATATGAGACAAACACATTTTCAGCCTGGGATACATTTATTGCACATTTATAGTCCATGACAGTCTTAAAGCTGCTTTACGTGATTTCAGAGACCTGCCTGACACCACTTAAAATTAGAAATGCAGAATAGTTTTGGATGGTGTGTTGATGAGTCCCTTTTATATACATGCATTTAAGAATATTATAACAGAATTGGCCAATTCTGTAGCCCAGTGTGCTCTCTGTATAGCCTCTATATCATTAAGAATATCATGCTCTGTATACGCTTAACCACAACTTAATTGGTTTGCAATATGTAGATCAGTGCAAGATACTGTAAATGAGGCAGTTTGATTTTCTACGGTTTCTATAATATTTCAGCATACAGAATGTCCCTAAGTGTCTGTTTGGAGGTATATTGTACATGTGTACATATATAAAATATATAACGTGCACAAATTTGTTACATTCCTCTTTAACTTTAATTAGAATTTTGCTTTAATTTCTTAAATTTTTTGATTTTTTAAGCTATTTTTGATATATAAAAGAAACATTTGTTTATAAAGGCAATGCTGTTGTAGTTTTTATTTTTTCATATTTTAAATTGTAGTTTTAGTAATTTTGTTAAGTGCTTTTGTAATTTTATTAGATTTTGTTTAGAATTTAGCTTTAATTTCTTAGGTTTTTAGATTTTGTTTAGGCTATTTTTGATAAATATAAAAGAAACATTTGTTCATAAAGGCAATGCTGTTGTAGGTTTTACTTTTTTCATATTTTAAATTGTAGTTTTAGTAATTTTGTTATGTGCTTTTTTAATTTTATTAGATTTTGTTTAAATATTTCTATTTAACTTTAATTTATTTGAATTTCCGTTTTAGTACTTCAGCTTAAACTTGGTTTTGTTGCCAATATAACAATATATTACATTTTTATCTAATATTTATATATATTTTCTTTCCGCTTTATTTTAATTGATTTTTGTTAACAATGTTTTAGATTCAGATTTTTTTTTTTTTTTGTTATTCCATACTATGCTGCTAACTAAAATCAGGACTGCATTATAAAAGGGAGCCCAACCTATTACACATATTAATTCTGATGTTTTTCAGTTCAAGCACCTGGAAAAGACACACCACACTCAGCTCTTATGTAATCAATCACCGTTGGACAAATGAAATGGATGCGTTCACTCACACCATAATCACTGTGACATGCCAACAGTTACTGATAAATGTTTGTAGTTCAAATCCTACAGTCTTATGGCTTGAAGTGCTACCAACCATGCTCTTTGTCTGTGCTGGATCAATAACATGAAAAATTGTTTGATGTTCTCCTCAGGCTGGAGTTTCAGTATGGGCTCAGCTTATCAGTTCCACAGCTGGAGGGTGTTTGTGGTGGTGTGCGCTCTCCCCTGTGTTTGTGCCGTGGTGGCCTTAACATTCATGCCGGAGAGCCCCAAGTTCTACTTGGAGGTAAGGAGTGTCTGAAAATAGGTGGGGAGATATAAAGAAAAGGTATAATTCATTATAGCTTCAGTTCAGTTTGTAATAAGAGTAATTTACAAATAGAAAATGGGCAAAATCCATCTCAGATGCCTTTTTATTAAAGTGGCTGCTTTATTGTTAACTGCATGTTTATAAAAACATCAGTTTATATGACTTGAACATCTGAAGAAACAACCTGACTTGAGGGAACACGACTATCTTTGAAGCTAATGACGCGTGCTTGTCGTGACTCCCTGCACCCCTCTTTCGTGTCTGCTGTGGCAATAGAGGTGGGCGGCTGTCATCTAGCGCTGCGGTTTCCACTTAATCCAGTTAATCTCTTAGGGATTTTTCTGCTCTATCCTTTCAGGTGGGGAAGCACGACGAGGCCTGGATGATCCTCAAGCAGATTCATGACACAAACATGCGAGCGCGTGGACAGCCCGAGAAAGTCTTCACCGTGAGTCGATTCCCTTGCTGCGCTAACTTTAAGCTGCTTAGAGCACGAACCATGCTTTAAAGTTGCTAAAAAATTCATGAATGATTGTCTCATCCTGCCCTGTATGTGGGCTTCAAGGATGTTTCTAGTGTCATTTCCTTCAGAAATAGAGATTGTAGCCTGCATCAAGGCTGTGTGAGCAGCCCTACCTCCCTAAGATATTCTTTCTCAAAAGTGTTTGGATACTGTAGTCAAACTTAATACATATACACATTTCATCGCATTACATAAAAAAAAAGAAATACATTTTTGGCAGACTTTAGAATGAAGCTCATATAGACTGCAGTAAAACGTTTCACCAGTTTACACTTGAATATGATATGTAAATAAATAAATAAATAAAAATCAAATCAGAGCGATCTGAGCGGGTGTGAGCAATAAATCAGAATTGAGAACTAAGGTTTACAGTGTGAATGTAACCCTAGTAACTGCTGTTTCTTCTTGTAGGTGAACAGAATTAAGATCCCAAAGCAAATTGATGAGTTTGTGGAGATGCAGACTGAATCTGGCAACCTCTTCTCGAAAGTGATCTTTAGAATAAAGACTGAGCTTCATGGGGTGAGATTCATGATATGTAACCTTTCATCAGTAATATCATCTATGTAATCATTAGTGTAAATTACAGATACTTGTGATAAAAAAAGATTTAAACTATTTTTTCTGTCCTTCCAGATTTGGTTGACTTTCTTGAAGTGTTTTGATTATCCAGTTAAAGACAGTACAGTGAAACTTGCTATTGTGTGGCTCACACTGTCATTTGGGTAAGACCTCTTTCTTTTTCTTTCTTTCTTTCTTTCTTTCTTTCTGTCTGTCTATCCATTGTTCTATCTGTCGTTCTATTTATCTGTTGTTCTGTTTGTCTTTCTTTCTTTCTTTCTTTCTTTCTTTCTTTCTTTCTGTCTGTCTGTCTGTAACGGAGGGAACACAGGAAGCGTGCGGATCCATCTGCAAGGCTTTATTAACAGAGACGTGGTCAAAAACAGGCATAGGTCAAAAAATGGCAAACAGGTATGTATATGGCAAGGCAAGAGGGATAATCCAGGTACAAGGCAAAGGTCCAGGCAGGGGCGAACAGTATCCAATTGGGCGAGACTCGAGGGATAATCCAGGTACACAGGCAGTGATCAGAACACGGGGAGTGGAAAATGCAGAACAATACACGGCGATCTGAACAGGAACTGAGAGAGTGTTAAATAGAGTGTGTAATGGCTCTCAGGTGAGCGTGTGATTAGTGACGGCTGTGTGATCAGTGAATTCAGCTGTGTAAGTGCAATGGATGATGGGAACTGTAGTCCGGAGTGACATGTAACAGTCTGTGTAGTGTGAGAGTCAATGTAATGGTATATCTATAGAATGACCTCTAGTGGCAATCGGCCGGAAGGCCACGGACCGGATTTGTGACACTGTCTGTCTGTCTGTCTATCTATCCATTGTTCTATCTGTGGTTCTATTTATCTGTTGTTCTTTCTTTCTTTCTTTCTGTCTGTCTATCCATTGTTCTATCTGTGGTTCTATTTATCTCTTGTTCTATTTGTCTTTCTTTCTTCCTTCCTTTCTTTCTTTCTTTCTTTCTTTCTTTCTTTCTTTCTTTTTTTCTTTCTTTCTTTCTTTCTTTCTTTCTTTCTGTCTGTCTGTCTGTCTGTCTATCTATCCATTGTTCTATCTGTCTTTCTATTTATCTGTTGTTCTATTTGTCTTTCTTTCTTTCTTTCTTTCATATCATTAAAGAACTCTGTTACTTCTGCAGGTATTATGGTTTATCTGTGTGGTTCCCTGACGTCATCAAACATCTTCAGGCCAATGAATATGCCTCCAAAGTACAAAGGCATAACAACGAGCGCATTGAAGACTTCACCTTCAATTTCACCCTTGAGAACCAGATTCACACTAATAGCTTATTTATCAACGACAGGTGACTTATTCAAACGCTTATGTAACAGTAATCTTCTTTTATTGTACTGATTCTGTGTATGCCTGCATATTATCTCATACATCTTTTTTTTTATTAATTCCTCAGGTTCATAAGTATGAAATTCAAGTCTGTCACTTTCATCAATTCCACATTTCAGAGCTGCTTTTTTGAGGATGTGACGTCAGTGGGATCTTACTTTCGAAACTGCACATTTATTGAGGCTGTCTTTTATAACACTGGTAAACTGGTCATTTGTTTTAACACAAAACAGACCACTTTTACTCCATTTTACCATTTTGCTTCATGTCTGGGCATACTTAAACCATAACTTTCTACTGTGGTTTAAATCTTGTTAATGAATTCATTTGACAGATATTGACGACTCCAAACTGATAAACACAGACGTCATAAACAGCACATTTTACCACAACAAAACAGGCTGTCAAATGACGTTTGAAGATGATTATAGTGCATACTGGGTCTACTTTGTCAATTTCTTGGGAACGCTTGCTGTTCTGCCCGGCAACATTATATCTGCACTTCTCATGGACAAAATTGGCCGCTTGTCTATGTTAGGTGAGGTTTTTTGCAGGTTGTAACACTTTGCAGTACCATCAAATATATTTCAGATTCACATTTTTTGTCATGTGTGAAGGAATAGTTTTGCTGGAAGTATTTTGTGTGTTTTGTCAGGGTTTTCCATGATTCTGTCTGGTATCAGCTGCTTCTTCCTGTGGTTTGGCACCAGTGAGTCGATGATGCTTGGGATGCTGTGCTTGTACAATGGGTTGAGTATCTCTGCCTGGAACTCCCTGGATGTTGTGACAGTAGAGCTGTACCCTACAGACAGAAGGTGGGTGTGTACTCATACATAATAAAATATGCTAACAGACACACAACAGAGCTGTTTAATGATCCCAAATCTCAAAGTCCATTACATATCAACGTAACACCAACTTTTTCACCTTTTTTCTCTTTTATCCGCCCTCCCTCCACTTCTCTATTTCAGAGGAACTGGATTTGGCTTCTGTAATGCCTTGTGCAAGCTAGCCGCAGTGATGGGAAATCTGATTTTTGGATCTTTAGTGGGCATCACCAAAGCCATCCCCATTCTTCTGGCCTCCTCAGTGCTCGTAGGTGGAGGTCTGGTGGGATTGCGACTACCAGACACCAGGTCAAATGTCCTCATGTAACCCTTGTGTCAGAGGTCTGGAGAGAAACTTAAAAGGCTTGACTTAACCCTCATTCCTCAATATTGTACATTGTGTACTTGCGTTGTGTTCATAACAAGATACTTCTCAACTAGGCTCCATCGAACAGTGGGTAAATATTTGAACAATTTTTAGACTTTTCTTTGCAATAATAAAACTTTTGCGCCTTCATACTGTACAGTTCATTTAACCAAGACCCTCACGTTTCCTTGTGGCTTTTTAGAGGTTTGTAATGGTCTAGGAATGGAAGTGAACATAAATAATAATGTCCCCTTATTAAGACTTGAGCAAAACAACCTATTAATGAGCCACCCAAACCTTCCGCAAATATGCAGAGAGGATGATCAGATATGCTGAAAGCTCAGCACAGCTGCATCACAGCTGGCTGACTGAACCCAGAGAATTACTGAAGAGATGAGAGACTTCGACTGGTCTACTGGTAAACAACTCTTTATTCAGTGATTTGATTCGTTTCAGAATTTGACTATACATACTGAAAACATCATTGGAGATCCAGATATGGTATCATGCATTTCTAATGTAAGAATAAGGTTTTGTTATTGAATCAGTTGAGTATTATGTTTTTGGTTGAAAACCATCATTTTGTACAATATTGTTACTGTATTTCTTTTTATATAATCAAGCCTTTTGCATAATGTGCTCCAACCTCTGATGAAAAAGGCCACAACTGTGCACTGTAGTCATGCTCAAAGTACATGTATAAAGTTCCTGCAGCCAGACTTATAAAAAATCAAAAGTCCTTTTTCTGCTCTGCAGATGTTTTGTTCATATACAATGGAGAATATTTTGTTCATAAGCTTTTTATTGTAAGCAGCAAAGCCTATTTGGTTTCATATACAACAGGCGTGCGTTATCTGACTTGTTCTGACACTTTGTGATTTGTCTAACAGCGAATGGCCTTTTGAAACTGTGCCTCTCCTACATAAGATCATTATCACATATGAACTTGAGGTGGCTGCTGTATTTGATATCAAAGTGTGTATCTGCCACGGTCACTCATGCAAACCATCTTACAATCTGACAGAAAGGACTGATGAGAATCAGAATGATGATATCCTGGAAAGCCTCTTTTATGTACAATGTCAAAGACTCGTCTTGTTGATACGACAGGTTTATAGGTGTAGAGGGAGTTTAGAAGGCCCGCCTCAACATATGGGGTCTACAATCTGTAGAGAGGGAAGAGAGATGTGTTTGAGAACCACATGACACGTGATTCATTTACAAGTATCATTTCCAAGCCAAGTGAAGAGAATTGTGTTTTTTGGTTGCTTCTACATAATAACTTTATTTGAATATATTTAAATACACTACCGTTTAAAGGGTTGGGGCCAATTTTTTAATTTCTTTTAAAGAAATTACCGGTAATACTTTTATTCAGCACAGATGCATTAAACTGATCAAAACTGACAGTAAAAAAGTTTCTGTTTCAAATATATGCTGTTCTTCTTACTATTCATCAAAGAATCCTGGAAAATAAATAAATAAATCATGGTTTTCCGCAAAAAGCGGCACAACAGTTTTCAACATTGATATAAAAAGGAAATGTTTCTTGAGCAGTAAATCCCCATATCAGTATGATTTGTGATTGATCATGTTATACTGAAAATTCTGCTTTGCCATCTCATAATGTGATCTCATCTTAGTGCCAAATTCAGTTCTCTGAACAAGATAAATCAATTTTGTTACTAGCTTTTACTATGTTTTGAGAGGTCTACAATAAGAAATTTCAGTTAAAGAGATTAAGACCATTAAGGACCATTGATGTTTTTGTATTTGATTTGGCTTCTAACTAACCAAAGTGGCTTAATGCTGTCTCACTCTCAGCAAAGCTATGCAGATTCTTGAAAGCGTTATTTATAAATGAGATTATAAATTATCATTGCTGTACTGTCCTTGATCTAAAAACCAGAATCAGTCTTCATCTGAAAACCCTTTTTAATTTATGCACATATTTTAACGTTAACATGCTGTCTGAAATGTGTGTATGCTTGTGAACAGTACAGCCTGTGTGTATATGTCTGTGTATGGGTAAATGTGTGCTTATCCATGTATATTTTTGTACATATGGTTACACTGATCGACTCACATGCTGAATACTGTGTGTAAACATTTTTGGGGGCTTCAGTGGATGAATATTTAGTGTATGTACACCGCTGAAACGGTTAATTGTTCATTTGTCATTGCAGCACTGTCCCTAAGAGCCAGCAGCCATCCTCAGACATCACTGAACAAAACTGCATGTATTAAACTTTTCGGGTCTGTGTGCTCAGCTCTCCAGAGAATGTCGCACTGTTGTGTGTTTTATGGCAGAAAGAAAAAAAACCAAGAATACAGCTGTCATATTTTGTGAAGGTAATAAAGATGTGCTAAAAAGTGTCTGTGTCTGTTAATATGAAGCAACTCTTCATTAGAATAAAACACACATTGACTGGATTTACTAATTTGTGTAATACATAGGTTAATTTCACAACAATGAGCCATAAGAAAAGACTGCAAATATGGTTGTTGTGACAGCAGAGACAATATCAAACAGTTTAAATATTTATAAAGGCTGGCCACATTTTAAGTTGACATAAGCCTGTAGCAACTGATCTGAAATGAGTTTTATTTGATGCGGCTGATATATTCAGAGGTGGACAAAATATACATGTTTATATCATGCCCATATTCCAAAGAGATATATATATATATATATATATATATATATTAGTGCTGCATGATTAAACCCACCTAACATTAAAGTTTTTAAATATACTTTTATATTGCAATAATTTCACATTCAATCTTCAAATTAATGTACAAACAACATAAAGACAGTATATTTTTAAATATTTGTTTAATGGCATCTTTTTTATGACTGAAGGCCAGTATCAATGATACCAATACTGATCTCTATAAAATTGTCCCCTCCCCCTAATATTTAACCATTGACTATAGCCATTCAACATTACAGTATAAATGAGAGCTATTAATTTGAACATTTATTAGACTTCAAAAATTACTTCTAATTTAAGTGAACTTAAAACAATCTTCACATAAACCCATTATAATAAATGTCATATTTACCTGTGCCCTTCAGCAGAAATATACAACTGAAAAACAAAAAATTTTAAACTGAAATTGAAGTTATCAAACACTAAATTCTAAATTAAATAAAAAGGAATCCTTAAAGCTATGAAAGTTCTTTTTTCCTCTTTTTTTTCTTTGTCCTTTGATTAATAGACATCACAGCAGCTGGTTATTAGGTTATTCTGGCTGTTATTTCTGTAAGAGCTGCCGCTGCTGAATGTGACGCGGATCTGACACGCATTTTCTCTCAATTCTTTTTACATTTTCTGACCCACTTCAGGTCTTAAAGTCTCTATTACTGAGCTGACCAGTTGAATCGGGTGTGTTAGATGAGGGAGACAGTGCTGGGCTGCTCCAGGACAGTTTTGAAAACCATTTCAGAGACATGTTCTTAAATGTGACTCATATAATATAGTATATTACATTACATGCATGGACAGTTTTAAGGCAGCTTTAATCGCCTTTTTGGTAACTTCATGACTTAACTGACCATGCATGTATGCATGTAGTTTATTTCGCGCTTTGATATTAAAGGATAAAACGCCATATTGACTCGACTCGCGCCTGACGCTGAAGTGAAGTGGAGCGCGCGTCTTAAACGTCACCCGTTCTCAGTCGTTCTGCGACTGAATAAATGCACTTCTTGTCAAGAGAAAAAGTGACAGAAGCAGCAGTTGTGAGTGTGGTGGCCAACCATAGCCCCACCCCTGCGTTAATTGCGTTAAATATTTTGAATGCATTAAACTGAAAAAATTGTCTCCTGCATTAACGCTCTAATTTTGACACCACTAATATATATATAACTTCTCAAGTTCAGTTAAATTTGATGGTGAGTGTTTGTGGACTGCAGTCTTCAAGTCACTCCACAGATTTTCAGTGGGGTTTTAAGTCTGGGCTCTGACTAGGCCATGCGAGGACATTCGCCTTTTTCTCCTTCAACCACTGTGTGATCAGTTTTGCAGTGTGCTTTACGTGCATTGATGATTTGTCAAAATTACCCCATGCTATGATGAAGTCTGCATTGGTTCTTTAAATGTAGTACAACACTGACATCTGCAGGAGATGTGTTGCCTGCACCTAATTCAGGACACTTTTATGGAAATTTTACTCTAAAGTGAGAAACCCATCTGTCACATTTGACCTTTTCTTGGAAACGTGTATATAGCAGTAAAATACAGAATATGAAATATACCAGGCAGTCAAATACATTGAGTTGGGCCAGATCTTACGGTAAATGATGAAATGGTAAATTCATGAATAGATTTATCTTGTTATAATATATTTTATCTTTATGTAAATAAATGTTGATTACTTGCTTTATTTTCTAACCACTAGACTTATTAATTAATGCTTCCTTTTACATTTAGCCATTGCATTTTAATTTAGTATTTCAGAAGTCACATAGACTTAAGACACACTTTAAAATGTCTGCATGTCATTGCATTAGATACATCACAAATAATGCTTGAGCTTTTCATCAGAAGTAGCTGTTTTGTAATGACTTTTAATCAGGTCCCAAGGTGATTTTCATATGAAGTCAGTTCCCTTGAAGTTCACACAAGTGTCAGAGTAACAAGTGTTTCTATTTTTTTTTTTATATATATATATATTGCGTAATAATTTATAGCCCAGCGAATACATTTTATTTAGGCTATTTATTTATTAATTCTGAGTTTTATTTGTGTTGTTTTATAATACAATGTCATTCATAGATAAATAAATAAATAAATAAATAAAAAAATAAATTTTCCACATTAAACTCTTAAACACGTATAAATTAACATTTGTTTTTCCTCAAGTCAAGATTGTTATCTAATAACAGATGATCTAATAACCCCCCTGACTATTAGTTTACACAACAAAGCGTAAGTATGCTTTAAGGGTGAGATCAGGCAGAAATACTGTACATCAGCTGAACACGGGCAGCGGGTGAGGTCAGGATGGGCGTCGCGCGCCAGCAGGTGGAGCTGCGTCATTCCGTGAGAGCAGAGCTTCAGCACGAGCTCACAGGGGCTTTCATCAGGTTGACAGGCAAAGGAAGAGTCGCAGTGACCGAAGGCACTTCAATGCAAATGGGTTCGGCGTTTTGTTGGGGACCAGTGCTATGACAAAAGTAGATTTCGTTTTGCTCGCTTGAGAAAGAAGTCGGAAGTGTAAGAAAGTCCGAGCGCAGTTTATGGTGGAGGCTCAGCAGAGTTTCAGAGGAAGCAGGATGTACCATGAAGACGGCGCAAACTCTCTCAGACCACGATATGGATGTAAGTAGAGCGACTTCACTTCATGTCAGTTATGAAACTACGATATAAATATGAAACAGAATGAGTATTGATTGAATTTTGATGCACTGTAGTGCGCTAGACAGCTGGTCAGCAAGAGTAGCTGCAACAGTAATCTGACATCTATGATCAGTGCAGTGGATGGTTAGTTTGGTGCACATGCACATGCACATGCACAATATTGAGGAGGAAATAATTATTTCCTCAACAGTATGCATTATACATGTTAATATTATGCATATATATATATATATGTGTGTGTGTGTATGTATGAACAATGATACTGATTATGACTGTTATGCAGATCTGATTGCTGCTATGTACAAAGTTAAGCAAACAATACCATAAATAAGTTAAATTGTTA